GGCTCGATCTCATGAACCGTGAGATCATGACCTGAGCAGAAATCGAGCCTTACGCTTAACCAACTGAGCCACCCAGGCGCCCCCATCATTAAGTTTTTTTCAGCAGATGCCACACCGCCAAGGCTGACAAAGGCCGAGTGTGATTTCTGTGGTTCCTGGAGCTGGTCTCCTGGCTGCGGTGAATTCTGATTCTTTCAGAACAAAACTGGGAACTAAAAGTGGCCAAAATATTAAATGCTGGGAAGTGTGAATCTGTTTCCTTCATTTTCAGCCTATTTCTCTCAAATGGGGGGGAACTAAGTTCAATCAGAAGCCTCCCATGCTCCTTTCCAATTATGCAATCGTCACTTCCAAGAATCAGGGCTACTTATTTGGGACCAGAGGACAAGAAAGCACATAGGGTCTGAAGAGCCAAGGGACTCCCTGCCCTGTGGACAAAGAGCCATCCCTAAAGTTCTCCTGCTGAGCAGACACAATATGGAATGACGTTAACAAGACCTAAAACATTCACATAAAATTCTCTCCCAATAAAAAACTTTGTTATCAAAGGATTGTGGCCCCCAGACAAGGGTCACTACTGCACTATGGGAAAGACAGAATTTGGACAGCCCTTGGGAGTTGACCTCTGGCCCCACGCCTGGGGTCGGAGGTGATCTGTGTTGACTTTATTTGTGTGTCCTCTAAGAAGGCCCCTTGCTTAAAATAACGAGGGAGCCGCTAAATTGTACTTACTTGTCACGCTGCATTAATGGATTCTTTTGCAAAGGCTGAAAAACATGGGCTTTTGCCCTTCATGACCCTAATTTTAACTGCAACGAATCTTCAAAATCTATATTGATTTCGGGTGAAGCTTATTTTGAGGAAATGATGAGTTCTATGAATAGTCTTTATAAACATACATTAAGCCTAGTTAAAGAGAAAATCTTCAACTACTTAAAAGTAGTCCTTGTAAGTAAAAGAATATTCTCGGCATGGGCAGAAAAATTATTAAGAATTCTATTTTGTAAAGTGATAGAATCGTAATTTCTACTTCACCAAAATGTCGTTGTAGTTAATTTTGTTGTGTTGGGGAAAATTTTCTGGCTTCTTAAATCTTCTACTTTTTCATACTAAATAAATTATCCAGTTTTATTTTGGTTCGGAAACAAAAATAAGCATTTTTACTTGTATCTGTTTGTTCTTGTAGTTTGTGACCTGAGGTAGAATCCTTTCTACACACTTCTTCTCTCCAAGAGATCACCGAACCCAGTTGATTTTCTTTCTTATGAAATAATAACTCAAAAATGTAAATTCTTTATTAAGCCAAAGTATTTTCTGAGTGGTAACTTTACTGTCCTTTGCCTCTCAGTCTTTGGCTAAGATCAAGTGGAAATACAGTCCCTGGCAATATAACGCCTCAATAAATACTTTTAATTTTTTGTCTTTTTATTTAAAAAAAAATTTTTTTTTCAACGTTTTTTATTTATTTTTGGGACAGAGAGAGACAGAGCATGAACGGGGGAGGGGCAGAGAGAGAGGGAGACACAGAATCGGAAACAGGCTCCAGGCTCCGAGCCATCAGCCCAGAGCCCGACGCGGGGCTCGAACTCACGGACCGCGAGATCGTGACCTGGCTGAAGTCGGACGCTTAACCGACTGTGCCACCCAGGCGCCCCTTTTTTGTCTTTTTAAAGTAGGCTCCACACCCAACGTGGCGCCCATCGCGGGGCTTGAACTCACGACCCTGAGCTGAAATCAAGAGGTGGATGCTTAACCCACTGAGCTACGTAGGCGCCCCAACAAATACTTTTTAGAATAGAGGAGTAAAAATGGAGGATAATTAAGAGAATTCGGAAACAACCAAAAAGAAGCCTTCTTGAGGATCAGGCTTTTTCTGTTTCTTCCCTTCTTTGGATGTGAAAAAAGCTACTGCAGGATAATGCGTGAGGAAAGGTGGCCACACATAATGCCCAGTGACTGAAAGAGAGGGAGATGAAAAATCATTACGATGAAAACAGGTAAGGCTGCTACACCGGGGTTTCCATTGGCCTCACTTAGAGGAGACAGATGTCCCGGGATTTTTTTCTGGGCAGTTAGGTAATATCCACCTGCACAGCTTGTGACCCCATTCCAAAATATCTGTTTATTAGCTAGGGACACTCTGAGAGTGTGGGGGTATGTCCTGTTAGAGTGCACTTATCTTTCCTGGTGGCCTCTGGGGTCCTGGTCCCACGTGAAGGGACACAGTGATGTGTCATTCACCTCGGGAACCTTTGCGGAGCATTCCCTGTTGGGGATGCCACGGTGACCAGGACCTGGTCCCCACTTTAAGAGGGACAGACCAATAGAGCAGACCACTGGGATATTTGGACCAAGTCACTCCACTCTGTAGTTAAAACACAAAATCTTTTTCCTTCTATGATTTTTATGTAAAAAGAACGTATGTCATAAATGCTTAACGTACGACTTCTTAAGACATAAGCCACGTTCAATTACTATAAACACTACCACGTTGCACTCGCACACTGTGCCCAGTGTTACACGGCTCAGATTACTCTGATTTAGGTCAGGGGCCTTGAATGAAAGAATGGGCAAGCACTGTTATTTTTCTCACCCTTTGTCAGGGAAGACTCGAATTTTCTTCCAGTGCGAGGAAGCTAGTCCCTAACTGTCTTCCCAGATTTTTAAAAATCTACTTAAAAAAATGTTTTTAACACAAAAAAGTGAAAACTGCTAGGCGTAACAGGCAAAGTCCTCTCCTCATCCGCCTCCCAGAGGGGAGCCCTGTAAATAATGTCCTGTGCCAACTCCGGGTGAGTTTCTCTTCCTATTTAAGCGACGTAGCTGTATAATGCATATCATTTTGTACAGAAATTGGGTAATTCTACATGTATAATCCTGAAATCTGATTTTCAGGGAGATTAATTGCTTCAAACTGGGGTAGTTTTTACACAAGGGAATGCTCTCTGGAGTGCGTGAGGCAAGAAGAGTGTCCTCACACATTCTGTGTGCAAAGTCCCTGGGGCTGCTCTTTGGAAAAGGAGAGATTGGGGGGGTTTATTTAGAAAAAAACAAAGATAAATGTGAAACAGGAGGGTCTGACCAGACA